GCCACCGAAACTATTGAGGCCCAATGAAGTTCCTCATCTGAGTCAGCTGGTGGTGTGTTTAAACTCCCCTGGACTCGGTTATTACCAGGAGGACTACTGATAAACGCACAGCCCATTAAAACGGAACTCCAGACCGTTGGGCACAGCCAGACCCTGTGCTGCGGCGGGTTGAGTGGAAATCTGGAGATGTGCAGAATGGGGACTAGCCACCGGGCCAGCAGGTTTCTCCCCCAGTTACTCCACTTACCAGCAGGCCATGGCCTTAGCCAGGACGGAGTGAACCACTTTTTAGTCCTTCCCAGAACCACATCCTCAGAAGCTGACAACATTCACGACAGCTCGAGTTAGTGCCAGCGGTGAGCGGGTCATTTCTGGGAAGGCTGCTTTGGGGTGGCTCTCAAGATCCCTAAGTGGCACCCACTTCGTGTCCACAGGAGGTGTGGGTTTTATTGGCTATGATGCCAAAGAAGTCCTTACCTGCAGGGACCAGCCTGGGTGGCAGCCAAGCTAGCTTCCTCAGCATGTTTTCCAGTCCTGGAGAGAAAGGCTGCCGTTGAGTCTGCAGCAATAACCGCTTCTCCTGAGATGCCTCTTTGTCTGATGCGATTCCTGTGCCGGGTACGGAGACCACACAGTCACTTTATGGATGTCACATACTGTCAGGTATGGCCCAGATGGTCAACCCAGTGTCCAAGATTTTATGAACTGGGCTCTTCACGGAGGCCTCATGGTATACTGGTTATGAACGTGGTCTTTAGAGCCAGACTTTCTACATCTGAACCTGGCTTCGCCACTTAATAGCTCTATGCCCTTGGGAAAGTTACCTCCTTCTCTGTGCCTCAGTTTCCTCATCTGGAAAAGGAGAATAATGATAGTGCCTGCCTCAAAGGTACTTAAAAGTTCTTAGTACATAGAACTACTTGGTTAAGCATCAGTTGCTGTAATTATTATTTGCTACGTGGGTAGGATGGACAGATGGTGGTTTTTCCGGTTTGGGAAAGGATTGCTGGCTTCCTGCTGGGTAGCTGTGAGTGGGTGCTGAGTATGGGCAGGAGAGCTGTCTTCTAGTATCCACCCTTGAAATTCTCTGCCCCTTCTCCAGTACCTGTTCTTTCCACCTTTCTTAATTTTCCATTGCTCACCTGACTCATCACCTGCCTGAGATGTGGAGCTGGAATCAGAAGATCAGAGTCTGTGGCCTGGCTTAGCCGCTTGCTGCTGCGTGAGCTTAGACAACTGACTGAACCTCTCTGAGCAGGAGTGGAAGACCTGGGATGACTTAAGGCTGCCAGGCATCTTGTAAAGGTGGAGAGGTTGTCTGTTTATCCCAGGAAGACAGCATGCACAAAGGACACATGTTGGGAACACCTGGTGGTTCTCCCCTGGAAGCTGAGACCTAACCTGTCTGGTACATGAGAATGAAAAAGAAGTGGTTTTTACCCTTCCTCCTGTCCTTATGGGGAGATGTGTTGGGAAAAGCACCAGAGTGGGAGTCAGGAGACTTGGGTTCCATCAGGTGCAGTACTATGTGCACATCACCCAGCACAGAGTAGGAGCCAAAAAGATGGGGCTTCTCTACTACTTGGTTACACGGTATTGAGTGCCCCAGGGGCTTCCATCCCCCTTTTATTCACAGTGACCCTGTGTTACTGGAGTTGTGTAGTGAGCAGGGCTGTCTTACTGTAAGTGCTGACGGTAGTCGTGGCTTGGTTACACATTCCCTGCTGACCTCTCTTCATCAGCTTCCAGTCTTAGAAAATAAGGATGTTGGACTAAATGAACTTCTGGTTTCTTACAGCTTTAATTTGATAGGAAGGCATATAATTAATGTACACTGTCCCTCCTATCACCTGCTTCCTCTTCTTCATAGTGCTTGATGCCATCTTTTCAGATTTTGCTTGCTTTGTTTGTTTTGTTGTTTACATATATTTTTTGTCTCCAGGACCCTCATTCCCATTTCCAGGCCCCTAGAAAGGAACCTACATGAGGACAGGGACCTTATCTCTGTTGGCCATCTGTGCTAGAATGTTGCTTGGCACGTGTTAGGTGTTTAGTGAATATGTACATATGCCTACATCTACACATGTAACCAGGCTTTCTAATGTGCTTACGTAAGTTTGTCTATAGAAACTAGGTAGTCAGTTGGTTATTCCTCCCCTCACCTACTCCTCTCTCCCATATACAGCACACTGTTATTGGAGATTAGAAGACTGGAGTTAAGAATGGTTATATTATCTGTCTTAAAACTTACACAAAGCAGCAGTGCCTGGGTTCTCGCCTTGTGTGTGCATGTAGTATTGGAGGACAGTAACTCCTGATACCAGACGGAGCCCACGATTTAGGGCTGAGGACACGTGACCGTGAGGATGACGTGCCAAGCATCTGTGGTGTCTGTTGGATCCGTTTACATACATAGTGGAGGTGGTCGGCAGGAGGCAAAATATAAACCTTAGAATTGTGCTCACCCATATTATTGAGCTTTCCTATTGCTCTTATTATTTGGCCACAAAAATGGACATAATCCTTGTTGGCTTTAACACACCTACTAGTACTGCTTTCGCTATCCATCTTGCAAAATATAAGACAAGGCCAGAGCTTAAATTAAAATCCTCGGCTTCTTATCTCCTCCCCACAGGAAAGCAAATCTGTGTTGAAAACCGTAAAATTAAGAGGAGAGCAAGGATAGCATAATTTAGCAAAAATTCATGGCACCAGATTCTGAGCTATATGACTGGAGGGATAGGTCAGACATTAAGAAGATGCTGCCTGCTAATGCAAGTTCCTTAAGGTGGTGCTCTGAAAATAAGAAAGGCATGCAAAATATACATATATATTTCCAGAAGGTTTCTGCAATGCTTACTCTTTTTAACTACCTTAAGAAAATATCTCTGTAGATTGTTTGGCAATTATACTTCTCATGAGACTTTTGAAATGAAACTCAACGCAGTTATTCTCAAGTATAGTTGAAATACATTCATTTTAGCGTTTGGGTGTTGAGATTTTTGCTTCCATTTTTTAAAGGGTTTATAATATTAATATTCTCCTTTCCTAGCACCCCCCACCCCCCACTTGCTCTGGCATTCTGAATTCCTTGCATTTAAGAAAAGCTCATTCTGTGTGTTTGGCAAACTGTATCATTAACACTTGAAAAAGCACTGAAACATTTTTTTTAACCTTTTACACATTTATATGCATAGATGTCTGTGCTGAGGTATATAGAGAAAACGTGTGTGGCTTTGATGATGGTGCTTTATTTAATAAACGCCAAGGGCGGTACGAGCTGCCCGTTTGCCATAAGAGAGGAGCTGATGATTATAAAAGGGGAAAGTCTAGTATGGATATTATATCATTATCTAAAATTGTGTGATTTTTTTCCCTTTGCTTTTTTTCCCTATAAGTTTCTTTTGGGTGGAGGTTGTAATGATGAAGTGGAGAGAATTACTATTACTAACTGGAAAGAATTAAGTGTTCTTAGGATAATTATTCCTGATTTTCCTGAGGATGGTTCTTCCTGTTGGAGCCACGTACTTTTTATACTTAATTTGTAAAAAAACACGAAATACAAAATCAGTGTATGTCATAGGTGTAGCCACCACACACAGATGTGTCACGAGCTCTCAGCCGTTCAGATACTTGCCTACGTTTTAAGCAGTTTACGCTGTGCAGTTTCAGGCACTTCCTCAATACAGGTATTTGTTTCTAGAGAAAGTGATTTCACATCATTTTAATCTGTAGTAAGGTAACAGTCTCGCTAATACGAACTGGTTATGGTGAAGGCATGTCTAACTAGTGAATTAGAGACTATTTCGAATTCATTATAGTCTGTTCCTCTTAAATTCACAAGTTATTACCATAGTGTTTCTAAATAGAGATCTTCCTGAGACTGCCTTAACTAGTAAGATGGGTTTAAAATCAGAAGCATATTTTTCACGTATGAAATTATGTTGAATTTACTTTCTTTGGGAGAGGGGTGTAGAGTTTCTTTAAAAAACAGTCCCCTAATTAGGTTAAACTGCCTGAGTCTTGTTTATATGACTGATTTGCTTAGTAAGCACTTTCTTAGAGGGGGGAAGAATTCAACTTATCCAAACAAAAGAATCCCAGATTTCAAATTGATGAAATCCAAATAAATAATCTGAACCTTTAAAAAGTGTTTTTGTCATGTAGTTTTAGAATTCTAAATTAAATAATAAAATTTACTTTTAAACAAGTACAAGACATAATATATGTTAAAATATAAATGCTAATTTAAAGTGTTCTTACAAGCTATATTTCACATTATACAGTTGAACTCAAGATTGGAAATTCTCTTTTATCAATTAAGGCTTCTAGAAACTACAGAACCTAACGACGAAATGAATGGGGCTGAAGCATAAGAACGTCATTGGCCATGTTTGACAAAAGTATGAAACATGAAAAAATGGTATAATGTGGTTCTTAAAGATGTACAGCTCTAGAATTACGAATCTGTAAACTAAGGGGATATCAATGCAGCAAATTCATATTTACTGAGTTGTTTAGAAACTTACCCTGTAGGTTGACAATATTTATTCATTTATTTGTTCATTCAGCAGTTTTTGACTGCCTTTTGAAGATGCCAGACATATGTAATGAATAAAGAGCTTGTAACACATTCATAACTTTTGCTTGAGTAACTCTTTGTTGGCTTTAACCTGAAGAGAGAATCCAAAAGGGAGTGTTAATATGTATGTACAGAAACTGATGCCATGTGGAATAATAGTGAGCCACCTAAATCTCTGAAGGGGCCTTGGGTAAACAACTGCTAGTCTCTGAGTGGGATATTGTACTTGACGAGCATTTAAATGGGAAAATCCTGAAGATCTAAATGAACACAGAATGTGATTGCAGTTGTCCAGGTCTGGAGAAGCTTCTTGGGTCATGCTGATGCCCAGTTCCTGCTGTTGTGTGACTTTGTCTTGGGGAGAGGAGACAGCAGCTGGGCATCTGTATTAACTGTTGACCTTGTGGTTACTTTGCAGTCAAATAAAGTGCCCGTGGTGCAGCCATCCCATGCAGTCCATCCTCTCACCCCTCTCATCACTTACAGCGACGAGCACTTTTCTCCAGGATCACACCCGTCACACATCCCATCAGATGTCAACTCCAAGCAAGGTGAGAGCCCTGCCTCCCCAGGCCTGTTTGGATAAGCGAGGACACATGTCACCAGTCTGAGTGACCTCACAGGCGCCTTGCTCCTGTCACGGGGGCATCAACATACATTCATAGGAGACAAGAATAATTTATTTGATAGCAACTTTTTATAAGCATACAAGAACTTGTTATTAGCTTCTTTTACTTTTTCAGGATTCAAAAAAACAGAAGAAAAGCATCAAATGGTCATTTTCAAAATGCCAGTTTTGAACATCTATGATCACAGTATAAACCAATATGTTGTGCAGATATATTAAAAATTCAGTCTTCAGTGCCGCCTGCCGTATTCATTTATTTCAGCATATACTAGGTGTTGATGATAAAAAAAATTTAGAAAAGGGACAAAGTAGGACTTTTTTTTCTTCAACTTTTATCTTTTTAGTCTTTTGTGATTTCTTTCGGTTTCAGTTATATCCTCATTGTGTTTTATCTTCTTTTTGTTGTTTACCAGCACCGGCTTAGATATAAATGTAATTAAAGTACAAAATCAGCTCTGTCTAAAGTCAAAGCAACATGAATCGTCTTTTGCATATCTGTATTACTACCAAGTTCTGCTTCCGTGTCCTTTACAGAGAAACACGCATCATAAGAGGTCTGAAAAATCAAAATGCCCAGTTTCTAACCCGATGGGTGTGAGTTGGTTGTCACACACGAAGCTCCTGTTCTCCAAACCTCCTTGTCTCATCTGCTTAGAGGAGACTTTGAGGAGGAGTTTATTTACAGAATAGCCTCTGCGCTTTCCACATACATACACACTTGGACCTCAGCAGGCCCTGTAGAAGTTCAAAACAAAAGATCCTAAAGAATCATGTGAAGGCAAAAAATGTGCAGGGCTACAACGTGCCATCTCCAGTGCTTCACCCTTTTGTCCAGCCCTATCTTTGATTGATTGTGAACAACAAAATTTAGTGTGTAAAAAAGAGTTGAGTTCAGAGGCTGTATTTTTTCCGCTACTCTGAACACTTCGGGTTAAATACAATCATCTTCATTTCCCAGCATTGTTAAATAGGCATCTATTTGAGGACTTGGTTAGTGTTGAGTGGAGCACAAGCACCTTTACTTAGAGAAGGTAGGAATCACCCAGACAAATGTCTCCAGGTTTGTCTGTGTTTTATTCTTCATTTCCAGTCCTTCCTCTTCTCTACTTCCTTTTGTCAAAGACCTCCAAAGAATAGGAAACATCAAAGACAGGTCTGTGGATATATCATGAGAAGGGGAACCTAAGATAGGTGTCTCAGGAAGAAGGCTGAGTTTGAGAGGGGAGATGAAGAACAGGGCCTTGGTGGTGGCGAGTTTGAGGTGCCTTTGGGATCTCTGAAGGGAACGTGAGGGAGGCAGTTTAAATGTGAGTCACAGTCCCAGAGCCTGGTCTGAGCTGGAGAGATACATCTGGGAACCATAAGGATGCGGACGACAGTTTCAGATAGCTATAAATGCCCCAAACAAGCTATTAGCGAAAAGAACCCAACAGCATGTTTTATTTAAACTATTTATTTGTCTAACAATTACATAGCACTTACTCTATTCTAGTCCCTGTTCTAAGCACTTTGAAATAACTTATTTAAAAGAATAACATTATAAAATGTTTTTAAAGAATAATACATGATGGTTCAGTAGTTTTTCTCTCAAGAATTCTAGTACAGTTCAATTTTAAAAAGAGCCAATTTTATGATAGCTATCAGTTACATTTATACTTTGTCCTCTGTTTCCATATCTTATTGCTACCTTACTTTATTTTACCTTGCTAATTGTTAATTTTTATTTCTCAAACTTTTTTTTTTTAAATAAACTCCCCAGAACTAGAGAGGGGACTAGCAAGTATGACCAGAAATTGCCTAAAAATTGAAATCTTTATTTTGGCCTGAAAATTTGTGTGACTTTTGCATTCTACTCTATACACTGTTTATATTTGTTTTAATGTAAAGATCCTGGTTTTAGTTACTTTTTTGTCCTGGACTTTGTGTACCCCATCACCATGTAACACACTCAGGGGATATGAGACCTTGTTTTAAGACGAATTAATTGGCATGATTCTGAGTTTGTATCATTCCATTTAGGCACATTCATCACCAAGAATAAGTATAAAGCTTACTAGATCTCTTACTGTTACTCCTTTTCTCTCCTGCCTGCCTTTGGGTTATATCATGTAGTGCATCTAGTTAGAGCATGGTGGTGCTGAGCTGCTGATTTCAAAGTTCCTGGGAGACTGGTTAGCTCTACCCAAAAATAATCCAAAATAGCAGAAAAAGAGTATCATGTATCTAACCCTAGACTGAATTATCCAGTAAACATAAACTCATAAACTGTCAACAGAACCCATTTTCATTTGTAGGAAATAACTTTAGGTTAATTTCCTGTTAGGAAGCACATTCATTTCTACCTTTCTCTCGGTGTGTGACGAGGTGGGGTGGGGTACAGGGCTGTGGGTGTAGGAAAAGGAAAGGAAGCTAATACCAGCCATTTTGTTCCACTCATTGTGTCTGATAAAAATGTTAAAACGAAAGAGCTTTTAGGAAATACCAGGTTTACATACCTGTTTATATGTTTATATCCTTATAAATAACAACAAACACATTGCACTTACACTGCATATACCAAGTACTTTTCTGTATTATATACGTGAATGTATTTATTCCTCACAACAACCTCTATTTCATTTTTATTCTAATTTTACACAACAATTAATAATTAAATAACCTCCTCAAGGATCTGTATAGCTAGTGAGTATGTATACTATATCCATACCGTCTGAGTCCAGAATCATTTTAGCTATATTTATAAAAGTTTAAAAATCTTTAAGGATATGCTGCATAAAGCCTCTAGCACATAGTAAGTGTTCAGTAAATACTCGTTAAATGAATGGTGGGAAATGTGTTTTCAGTAGCACTGGAGTTGGAAGAGAGGCATAGGCTTCTAGGAGTCTTTGGAAATAGGATCTTAAAACAACAGTAAGCTATTTAGAAAACACAGATCCACTTTCTGGTCATGTAGTGACCTAAGCCACATCATGTCCTTGTGCGTACATTTAAAATGGTTTATGATGTTGACCCAGCATGGGGAATGGGTCTGTTTACTTGTTCATCTGTTCAGTCATTCGGAGGTGTATTCAGAGCCTCCTTGGGAGATAACCATAGTCTGATACACGTATTGGGAAAACAGTCCCTTTCTTCCAAGGAGTGTACAAGCTCATGGAGGAAATCACACGCAAACTGTAAAATAAAATGAAGAACATCTTAAGTACCACATTGAAAGTAAAATAAAATGTTGTAGATTCAAAGAACAAAGATTTCTCAGAGCTATAAAAGTTAGAGAATATTCCATGGGAGAGAGGTATTTGAAATATGATTAGAATTTTAATAGAACAGTCAAATTAAATACCCAGCATAGGAACTAGCATGTGGCAGATGCTAAGTAAGTGGTAGTTCCCTCCTTTCTCCTTTGAGCAGTAAAGCCAAATCCAGCTAGTTTGTGTTTTTTGTTCTGTTGAATTACTCTCACACAGAACCACTAATGCAGTGTTCTCGAACATGGACGAGGATGGAGAGCAAGGTTTTAAGCTCATCTGCTTAGACACATGTGATTGGAAGCAGTTTACTTCTCTGTTCCCGGTGTAAGAGCCCAGGAAAAACCATATTTTCTACATACCGAGTCACGTCACCTCTCTGACAAAGGAATTAAAGTAGACAATTCAGAAGGTAGTTTCTGACCTCTCAGCATAATTTTCAAGTTCAGATTTCCTCAAAGTTTCCAAAGTTCTTTTGAGTTGGTCTGGTTTTTGTTTCCAAAACGGAGTAGCCCCCTGGCAGACTCTGAGGTTTGGGGAGGTATCCAGATCTCAGGCTGAGGGAGGCAACAAGTTGGAGAAACTTCCCTGTGATTCTGGTATGTTAAGAATCACCACTCTAGGCAACCCTGCTGCCTGAACCTCCTCAGACCCAAGAACAAATCCTAGGTATGAAATTTGGGGTCCACTGTGCCCAAAGAAGTAGTATATCTAGCTTTAAAAAAGGAGATTTTAGACTGTTCTTTTAAAAAACAGCAAAACCTGAGATGATCTCATGTAAACTCTCTATTAAGAGATTAAAGACCTTTCTCTTTCCTACTTTCTGTGAGAGTTGAGAAATAGTTTGTCCTAACTTCAAAGTCAAATTAACATCAACTTAAAAGGCAATACTTCTTAAGCCATTCCCATATGCTCAGGGCCTTCAATATCTTTTAAGATCCAAATGAAATTCATAGGCATTTTAAATAGTAAAAAATCAGAATACTTAAAGAGCATCTTCCATGTACTGACCTAATTTTGCATACTGGCCAATATAATTACAGCCACTAAATGCATATTCTGAGCGTTAAACTGGGAATATGTTCATACTTGGTAATGGTCTTTAAAGCCAGATTATCTGTGTAAAGAAACCCACATGGCTTTTTTCTATTCAGAATCACTTTCCCCCAAATATAAATCTAAGTTTTTATTTTTTGCATTTTTATGTGTATGTCTTACCCCTTCTCTTCTGTACCCAAGGTAAGATATAAACAAAGAGATGTCATTTGGGACTAGGATTAGGTATAATCTTTAGGTGGTTTTTACAGTTATAGGGCAGTGTGCTCCAGGGAGTGTGAGCACAGGAAACAGTTTGGTGGCGCTCTCATTTTCCGTGGAATACAACTAATCCAGAACAGATTGACCTTGGAGCCCAGAGGACTCAACTTGATGAAGAGCTTAGCTGGAGCTGCAGTGGCAGAGACCAAATGAATCATATCAAGTGTGACCATTACGGGGCTGAAGATGATTCCTAATTAATCTTTGATCCTCTGAGGTATCACATTTCCCAAATCTATGTGTCCATAAGGGAGCCAATGAAAATCTGAAAGTAGCAATTTACCTAATCCTTGAACACCATGGCAGGCCTTCTGCTTATGAAGGGCTGTCATTTCCATTCTACACAAAAGCAATTGTCTACTATTTTCCTAACCAAAGTGAAATAATGAGAGCAAACTAAATAATTTTAAAGTCTTATTTTGATGCTTGTTTTGCTAGCAGCATACTTACTCTTTAAAGAGGTCTTCAAGATACATATACTACCTTAAGACCTGTTTTCTCAGATGCTGAAATCTTGAGAAAAGCTAACAAAGTGACTTCTGTTAAATGGATCTGAAAAATACTGTTTCATTCTAGACCTTAAGTATTAATGACATAAAGCATTTTCTTGCCTTTCTCTTAAAGTCAAAAATCCTATTGATCTGAAAACTCTACCTCTTCATTACTCTTTTTAATAGGCATGTCCAGACATCCTCCAGCTCCTGAGATCCCTACTTTTTATCCCTTGTCTCCGGGTGGTGTTGGACAGATCACCCCACCTCTTGGCTGGTAAGATCCTCCTTGCAACCTTCAGCCACAAATTCGAACACATGTTTTTCTACTTCCCATTCATGGGAAATTAGCTTTCTGAATGATAACATTTGTAGAGTTGGAGAAACTTCCACAAGCAAGGTGCTAACTTTATTTCATTTCAATTTAGAAGATTAAAAACCATACAGACTTTGAAATGGATTGAATCCGTTTGCTAATATGTGTAGAAAATGACTGTGTAGCATTTGCTTTGAAGCTTATAGTTTTATGGATTCAATTTCTGGCTTTGGGCATTTGCTGGGCCGGTACAAAGTGCTCAGTGTAGTTTTTCTATTCTGGTTCTTTATGAACAATTTATATTTTTGAAACATAACCTTAGATATATTGAATAGTGATCTTTGCTTATAAATGAGTAAGTGAGATAAATGACAACTAGAGAGAAGTTTAAAATACAAAAGTATCTTTTGAATGTTAATAAAGTAAGCACCAGTTTGAGTTCAGAGGAGTGGACTTTTTTTTTTCAGAATCCAAAAGATCTCTATTTTGTTATTTCTAAAAAAATCTATACCACTGCTTTCAATTTTTTTTTATTATAAAGGTAAAGGAAAAATGTGTTTGGTGAAGAAACAATAGTTTGATATAGTGTAGCCTAATTTTATCATTTCATTGTTCACACACAACTTTCCCTGCTCCCACTCCATCCCTTCTCCTCTCCCCACTGCTCACTCCAAGGAAACAGTGCTTCAACTTTAGCAGATGTCTTCTCTCCTTTCTTTATCCGGCTCTCTGTCCCTTCAGCCCCCATGTCAAGGCCCAGTCTCCCCACCTTGACATCCGTACATTATCTCTTCTTCAGCACAGAGTGGAAGGGCTCATCCTGCCGTGGACATCCAGCTTTCTCTCTCCTCTTTAGCATTACATCTCTCAGTCAATAACTCTGTTTGCATTTAATTGATTATGCCAACACTTTCAAACCTACATCAATTATTCTGTCTGAACTTAGTTACTTAGGGGCAATAATCTAGGGCTGAGTTGCATCAGTGGCATCTGGAAATAAAGACTGTAATGAAAAGGGTGAGATGTAGGAAAAAACAAGAGAGATGGAATTCTCAGAGCGGAGAGAAAATAATTCCAACTAATTGAGCTTTCATTTCTTGACTGTAGCATGGGTATATGGGGGGAGGGGGGAAGCACAGTGCTTTAAAAATATTTATTCATTTTTATATGAACTTTTATTTCCTTCTTTCTTCCCTTCTCTGAAATTCTCAAAGATTCTGATAAGGAATCCACTAGCCTGAAAGGAATATTTCACCATTCTCAGGTTCTTTTATATTCAGTAAACCCTGTTTACATGCCTATTTTGTTGAAAGCATTCGCAGGGCTGGGAGAGGGGAAGGGGTAGAAGACAGGGAATTCACCGACTGCTGTGGAGGACCATGATGATGGTTGGATTGGGTGGAGGATAAGGAGGGGAAGCAGCTGGGTGACTGAAGCACTCACCCTACAGTGGTAACACTCCCCAAAGTTCTGTTTGAATTCCTCCCTGTCCTCCCCTCATCACACTCTTATTGCTGGTTGGTAACTCGTGTTTTGTCATTGATGGGTTCCTTTCTTCTGTGACCTCAGGCAAGGTCAGCCTGTATATCCCATCACGGGAGGATTCAGGCAACCCTACCCATCCTCACTGTCAGTGGACACTTCCATGTCCAGGTAGGTGGAGGTGGAAACCGGGCGCTCCAGGACAGGATGCTCTAACGCGCTTGCCTCTCGTGCGCCTCTGCTTGCCTCTCGTTCAGGGGGCCAGGCGGGTGCGCAGCTCAGCCGCATCTGTCTGCAGTGTGCCTGGCTCCCACACTAGGCGTCCTAGAGATTCCTGGGTAGGAGCCAACGACAGCACAGCACCAGCCACGCCCGTCAGGGAGATGAACTCGGTCACCCTGGGAACCGTGCCTCAAAAAGGTTTCACTGCTACCCAACTGTGGGATGGGAAATGTCCCCAAAGGGGACGATATTAGAAGAGCTTGTTCGATTCAAAACATGTTGGGGGTGGGGTCAGGGGGAGGGTAAAGGCTGGTTTGGTCTGAGTTCTATAATTTGCTTTCTACAAGGAAAGTTGCATCAGTTTCATGTGACAGTGTTTGAAAATGCCCAGCTAGTCTAGAGCCTTCCTAGACCAAGGCTGTCAGGAAAGAAGCAATGGTGCTTCTGGGCTGTCAGGCCGTACGGGTGTGTGTCCTAGTGTGTGAATCAGGCCCTGTGTGGACATACTGGTGCAAGCGAAGCTCTGTGAGGTCTGCTGTGCCACACTGCTCTGTGTAATGCTTTTGCCTCTGGAAAGGATGGCTTCTGTGCCCTGTGCTTGATGTGCACACACACTTGCGGTGTATCATCTGTGTGTTCCATGTGGCTTTTTCAAGGGAGCTAGCATTATCACGCTGGAAATCAAACTGTTGGGTTAGTAACTGGTTGCGAATCTATTTTCTAACACAGGTATGAAATTCGCAGTTTTCTGTGGTGAATTTCAGCTTGTTAAAAAAACATTATTTTCTTTCAGTTAATTATAAATCTAGCTGGTTGGGAGGGTATGAAATTAATATCCTTCCCCTCAAAATATATTTTTATACTTTTTAACATTGTAAGAACTATGTGATGACAGGATTTTCCCACAGGCAAATAACAAGCATCCTGTATTTTTGCAAATGGTACATTTAGCAAAGCATCATTATTTAATCAAATATTTGTATTTTTCCCATGCCTCCTTAATTTTTAAAAATTTCTTTCTGAGGTATTACAAATCTAATCAGAGTCCCTTCTTTCCTTCCTAGATGAAGGAATTAATTGTACAGGCTGTGATGAAAGACCTGAGAATGTTGTTTTTGTTGAATTAAATGTTTACTTTAAAACAGTTTGAAAAGCAAAAAGTTCTAAAGCATATCTAAATTTATCCAAAGAGTTTGTTGAAAGTACTGTCTTTATTTTATTTTTCTTGCACGGCAGTTTCCCTCCTTTGTGTTGGGTGGTGGTGGATATTTTAAGACTTTTTTTAATGCTCTGCAAGCATACTCTGGGAAAAAGCCTTTATTTTAACATGTGTTATTTTTACCTTGATGCAAAACTTTATCTTTCCCTTTAATTAAATCATTTCCCTTAATTTTGTTATCAATTTTCCATTCAGCTAGATCTCTCAAACATTTCTTTCTTTCTGTGTAGAAAATTATTTGGGATGATGTTGATGGCAAGCAACCTTACTAAACTGGGGACTGAACAAACCTTCTGCCCCATATTTTCTCAATCATTCTCTCCTGGTATTAGGAAAGATGCCAACAGGATGAGAAATGTGATGGTTTGCTTAAGAATGTAGACAGAGATTTCTAAGTGTAGTATCTTTAGATTTTAAAATCATTTAAAAAGCTAAATCTTAATAAAGTGTTATATTTCCAGTAATTGCTCTTACTGAAATTCTTCTCTGAAAACTGCTTTGCAAGAAAAGTGACTTTTTTTTTTTAATCCTATGGCCTCGAGCCCTCCCAGGAAAAATGCCAGATTCCACTATTAGCTTGAAAAAAAAAAATCTGTTACATGGTGAATAATTATACATATTTTCCGCATGAATACAGAAAGGAAAGAAATTAATCATCAGCCTGCTCTCACTTATAGTTAATACTCCTGTGTAGGAAGATGTGTTTTCATTCTCAGCCAGTAACAGTTAGTGGGTTGTTTCAGAATTCCATTCAGCTTTTGCTACAGCAGTACATTTTGTTTTCTTGTCTTTCCTGCTTTTAGGTTTTCTCATCATATGATTCCTGGTCCTCCTGGTCCCCACACAACTGGCATCCCTCATCCAGCTATTGTAACGCCTCAGGTCAAACAGGAACACCCCCACACTGACAGCGACCTAATGCACGTGTAAGTGTGCCTCTGTTTTCACCTACGTATGCCTTGCGGTGCTGAGGATTCAGACAACACAGTTATTCCCTGTTGTTGAATCTTCCCCTGATTATGAAAAGCAGTATAGCTCTGCCTTGAAAGCTCTGTCCCCGAGGACGTTAAGCAGCTTGTTTCCCACTGCTCTGATTTTGGTTCTGAGATTGGGAAGGAGCACAGGCGTTAAAAGATCAAGGGAACCTCACCAAAGGGGAGTGATCTTCAGAGCTTAGGGACTGAACAACTTGAGCTGTTTTAACCATTTACTACCAGGTTTTAATTGGGCTCCGACTGTTGGGGGAGCCCGGAGTGGAGTAGATTTTGGAGGGTTTAATGTGTTTCTTTCTGGAACTGCAGTGACCCTCCATCAAGGTTTCAAAAGCACAGAATTCAAGGGAAAGGGGCAAACCAAACCCAGGACTTCCTTTCGGGTCAGGGTTGTCTACGGCTGTTACAGCAGGGCAACATTCTCTGAAGAGATTGGTAATTGAGTTTCTTAATCTAGGGTTTGTCCTGGGATGGGAGGTTGGGATGGAGGGAGCACGTGTCATAAAACCCCTACAATTACAGGCAAAGCCAGCATGCATTTGTTTGGGGGAGAGAGTCTAAAGTTTCATTAGCCCCTCGGAGGGGCCACTAACCCCAAAAAGTGAAGAACCTCAGTTCTGGCGGAAGATGGACCACCTGCACTATGCGTTCAGCTTTTCCCGCTGTGACCAGGGAGCTCGGCCTCAGGGCTCTAGATGGAGCATCTTCACAAAGCCGTGTCCATGTTGTGTTAAACACTTCAGTAGCTAGAGGTGAACTTTCTTATTCACACAGAGTTGGTGGCTCACTCTTCAAAGTTGATGCTGTTCTGGGGCTTGCAGAGCCCAGGGCGGTCCCAGCCTGAGTGGGACTCGGACGTAAACAGGTGCTCTGCTTATCTGCTCCCATCTCTTCCCTGTTCCTCTACCCCTTCCCCACCCCCCCCCCACCCCTACCTTGTAGGAAGCCTCAGCATGAACAGAGGAAGGAGCAGGAGCCAAAAAGACCTCACATTAAGAAGCCTCTGAATGCTTTTATGTTATACATGAAAGAAATGAGAGCGAATGTCGTAGCGGAGTGTACTCTAAAGGAAAGTGCAGCTATCAACCAGATTCTAGGCAGAAGGGTAAGTAGTGGGATGCTGTGTAAATAATCATGGTAACGGTGGAACTGCTTCATTAAAATCTACCCCAAGGCACTCACCTATCAGGTGGTCATAGAATGCATTTGTATAGTCACCAGCTACTTGGGGAAGTAACAAGGAAGTAACATGATAACCTTCAGAAGTAAATGATTTAATGCATTGTAAGTTTATTTTTTTGGTGGGCGGGGGGAGGTAATTAGGGTTACTTTATAACAGAGGTACTGGGGATGGAACCCAGGACCTCCTGCATGCTAAGCACTCACTCTACCACTGAGCTATACCTCCCCCTGATATATGCATTGTAAACAACTTAGATTGTACCTGGCACATAGGAAACTTCCTGGAAATGATAACTATTTTCCCTGTTATCATTCTTTACACAAATATTTATTGAGTGTCATTTATGTGCCAGGCTCTGTAGTAGGCATTAGATAATTTTTCTGAGTAAAATAGATGTAGTCCTTGCCTTCATGGAGCTTGAAGTTTTGTGACAGGATACAGCTATTAGACAAATAATTACCCAATTAAATTGTGATTAAATACCGTGAATGTGAAGAGCAAGAATCTGAGAACACAGGGGGCTGAGAAGGGCCCCTCTGAGACAATAGCACTTGAGCTGAGAGCTGAGAGGTGAGTGGGGAGGAAGCGGTGAGTGGGCCAGGGTGGGTGGACTCCCCCACACGCAGCAGCATGTGTGTGCATACGCCAAAGCAGGAGAGCACTTAGCCCACTCAGGGGGCTACAGAAAGGCCTTGCGGGGCCAGCCACGCTTCTGGAGACCCCGGCAAGCAGAGGTGGCTGCCCCTGTAAGCAGATCGTTCTACATTGAAGCTGTAAATGGAAGAATTTGTATGGGCCAGAGAAGAATTTGTATGGGCCCTCTGATTCTTAAAGTGTACATGTGCCAACTTTCTGGGTTGCCCCTCTCTTTTTCTTTTATTGCTTCTTTCACCAACGCTGAGAGTTTGTTCTGAGCGCCTGTCCAGGACCAGGCACGGGACTGCAGTTAGGACAGACCCTCTTAGATTTCTTTATCCGGCCACCAGCCCAAAGGCTGGTCAGTCCTCCCTGGTACGTACTGAGGGTTGAGATGGGTTTATTTAGTTAGGTAGCTGAAGGGTGGAAGATAAAAACTGAATTTTTCTAATTCAAGTAACATTTTTCTTGTAACTGCATTATAATTTCAGAAATGCCTCATCTTCCCTTGTCAGTGCTCTTCATGTATGTGTGGTAGCCTCTTAATATAGTACCTTGTGTATCTGTTTTTTGCAACCTCTTAAATTCATGATTTGCAAATGAATATTCAGGAGGAGGGGCTTAACAACCTTTGTGAGACTTAGAGATCATGTTTTGGCTGTTGATGATAATTTTTATCATGTTTGTTACAAACCTAATACACTTCAGCATTTATAACAGAAAACATTCAGGAGCTTTCCAGGCCATGTGAATAGATGGAGGAAAGGAGGCGTTCTTGTATTATCGATTCCTGTTGGATAGCATAAAAATGCAGCTATTTCCAATCTGCAGGACACCAGGGTTTCAGGGGTAGGGTGCGGTGGCAGATTATAGCTCTTTTGGTGCCCTGTGCACAATACTCTATCTCCCTGTGGATTCTTAAACACTTAATAACAATAATTACAATGATTTCCCAAGCGAGATCATAGCAGATGAGTGATTCCCATCATCTCTGAAGAACTCTGCCTTAAAAGCTTAAAGGCTGATGACCATTGCCCCTGACCCTTTGAAAGAAGTCAGAGGAAAAGAAGGGTTCTTATTTCAGCTTGTGTAAAACTCCTAGCTTTTTTTTTTTTTTTTTTTGAATTAAAGGTCCCTGGTCCTCCAGTGGGATTTATTTTCCTGCTCAGGAAAAGTAAGGATATGATATAGATGTATGCTTCCTATTTTTAATGCATGTATCCAACAGTTGCTACTTTCTCGGCTCCCTTAACAATCCCCAGATCAGAGCATGTGTCCTCAAGGATGGTTCGCATCTGGGGTCTCTCTCTGTCTTTGGTGTGGACACCTGTTTCTACTTATAGGCCTCTGAGGTCTTCGATTAAGACCAGGTTTTCTGTCCTTTCATAGCTCCCCTCTGGCAGGGCTGTCCTTGCTAGTTCTTTAAGGTTCCTGGCTCTAAAATCATGAAGTTTTACGCTGGGATAATTAGACTTCTTAATAGTGGAACTGAAATTCATCCTGGAACATTTTATCTTTTGATTTTTATTCACCTTTGCTATATCTCTGGCGTAGAAATGTTCATTCATATGCATGTGAATCAAAGTTTTCTTCTCTGTATTATAAATAACAGTATAAATAGTACTTTAAGCTTTTTCTTGACAGACCTTCCAGGCTATTAGAGAAAGTCCATTTATTGGAAATTTATTGTTAGAATTTTTACATCTTGGATCTGTGTAAGTGTCTTCAAATTAAATGGGTATTTTGCTTCTGTCAGTAAGTAGAAAGGATAGAAAAGCATTTTCAGTCAATTGTGTTTCAGAAATTCCTGTAAAGAAGGACCATCTAGTTTGTATCAGACTTTATTTTTGTTTTCAATGCAAAACTTTAATGCCGTCATGTTACCTATTCTTTTACTCTGGTAAACGATGTTTTATTGTGAGTAGAGTTTGTGCATTCAAAATGCCAGGGAACTAAAAGCAACTGAAAATGCAAGTGAACAGTTTAATCTGTGGCCTGTTTTTTTCCTCTTGAATTTTGCTTAGTTTTGTTAGCTAGGTCTTGTCAACCTGTTTCCTGCTATAACTGAAAAATTCCTGCTTGTTTAACTGGTTGTTTGGGTAAAAAACCCAACCTCCATATGTGTTTTTGGAGATAGTTTTCTTTACAATTCCCAGTTTTCTCAGCAAGTTATAAAGCTGTCATAATCATATGAAATTTTACTTTAAATTACTCAATTTTTATATTATAAAAATATACTTATATATAAATATAAAATATATTTTGCAATAATATGACAGATTAGCAAATGAATAAATTTACAAAGTAGGTCACATCTTTTTCCCTTTAGTCTCCTTTTTTGTTCCTTCTTGGTAATGCTTTGCTGCTTGCCAATCACATTAGCACCAGAACTGTCTAAATGTTAATAGTCAGTCTTTTCTCAAAAAACAGAAGAAAGTGTAGGCTGATATTTTCTACTGTGCCCACTTTGGCTTCTTCTCCCTGCGATGGTCCCTAGCACCAGGTCCAGGACTCAGATTTAGAAAAGCTGTCAGTTGACAGAAGCAGTGTGACTTTTCCTGCCTAAACGTCCACTGCTCCCCAGGAGTGGCTTCTAAGGTACGACTTAACTGTGATTACTCTGCTGATACAAAGAACTGTGTCTCAGTAACTCAGGTTACTTTTTCAGAGATTTTTTTCCTTGCTACCTCACCTCCCTCAACTTTTTTTTTTTTTTAAGAAAAGCACATTACCTGATTTGCTTTAGGCTCTTAACTTTACAGTCTGCACTTCTAAAGCAATTAGAAATGAAATCATTTACCCTACCCGACACAGAGGCCCTGGCTTCCACGGAGCTTTCTGAAGGAAATGGGCTGCGCCCCCACCGCGTCCGGAGTTTTTGGGGGTGTGGGTGCAGCCCAGGGCGCTGTCTGCTCTTCTCAAGACCAGGTTCTGGTTCTCTTAACAGACAAGAGCAGCAGGTGTTGTCTCCTTGAGGCCGCGCCCTACGGGCCGCGTCCAGGCTGAGGAGGACACAGACGGAGCCTCCGCCAGGGCAGCCTTTCTTTCTCATCAGCCTGTCTCCCTTCCTGCTCCTTCCTTCCCCCAATCCAACTACACCTTTCTTTTCTTTTGGTTTTATCATTTTTGAAAAAAGAACAAAATTAAAATCAACATGGAGGGTAGACATGAGAAAGAATCACTCAGCTTTTAATGGGAAAGAAGAGAAATGGGCAGCAACACGCCCCAGGGCTGGGAGAGCTGGAGTGGGAGCCACGCTGACCTAGAGCATGCGTGCGTGTGTGTGTGCGTGTGTGTACACGCACGCAGGTGTGCGTGGTGTGGGCTCAGGTCCACTCCTCCTGCAGCCATTGCCTCTGTGCCGTCACCTCTGGCTGGCGGGTCCCCCACGGTGCAGCCAGTTCTGAGGGGTTCTGACGACAGAGAGAAGGGAAGTAGGGGACGTACTTGAAAACTGCCCATTGAGGACGTGGGGCAAGTTGTGTGCAAACACACAAAGTGCGAATTACAGGCTGCGGAAGATCCCAGATGGTGCCTTGCCTACATGAGCTGTTTTGCTCTGTAAGATATACATCAGTCACGTAAAGGGAAATGGAAAGTTTGCAGGGAGTCAGCTGCTCCATTCTTCAAATTAGACCTGCAAGTCTCAAATTCTAGATAGCAAAATTAACTTAGATCCTGCTCCTTGCTTTCAATCAGAAGGAAGCTAAAAACATAGCCATAAACTGTGCATGAGTGATTGTACAATGTTATGAGTGTTCTTCCCTTTGAACAATGAGTGTTTAAATAAGTGTGAGGGGAGGGTGAAGAGACTGAGGCAGACTGACTTCTGCTGCTATAGACAGCATCATGTGATGAAGGTTTCAGACTATTCATATGACAGAGAGGACCAGGATGTATCCGTGTGGAAGAAATCTTTGGACATGAGCTTATTTGCATAAATAAATGATGCTTGGGCTCCGGTGTTAGCCTATGCTATAATCCATGAAAAAGGGCCACGTTGGGTGTTGAGTCTCACCAGTGAACATTCTCTTCCATTTGTATTGGAGAAGAGAAGGGGTGAGTGACAGGCCATTTCACACTACAGGTTTCATGTAACATGAGAACAGGATAGAGAAACCAAAGTTTGAGTCTCACTCCAGCCACCAGACTCCAGCTGGATTTCGGCAACACGTGGTTCTGCCATTTAAAAATAAATCAAAGTTTATATGCTTAATATTTCTATTCTTCAGTGTTTAAAATATGGACTATGTAATACTGTTGCTACTTTGCTTTTACTTGATTTTCCCTCTTCCCCTCTCTGTTTCAGTGGCATGCCCTCTCCCGTGAAGAACAGGCTAAATATTATGAATTAGCACGGAAGGAGAGACAGCTCCACATGCAGCTCTACCCAGGCTGGTCGGCCAGAGACAACTACGTAAGTGCCTCCCGCCCACCAGCCGCTGTCCCCTCACTCGTGCTCTTTCTTGCTCTTTTCAAGGAAGTGTGTTGTAGGGTATATCTAATGCTGGCGCTGTTTCCTATTTTTGAAAGTTAATGAACTTTATAATAAAGATTTCATGGATCTATTGAATCTTGAAAGCTTTGAGCTGTCATAATTTTTTTTATTGGCTGTAAGTGCTACTGAATTTTTTAAGTAAAATTTTTTAATCCCCCCGTAAATACTTTATATTAAAGTGTTGGTAAAAAAAGGTCTTTTTAAAAGCCCATAATCTTATCATGTGAAGGCAGCATAGTAATAACTAGTTACACTACCTTTCAGTATTTTTTCTATGCATATGTTTTTATTTTTCACTTGGATATAAGTAGGTGAGTTGGTGGGTGAGTGTATACACACTTTTGTGTTGTGCTGCTTGCTCATATAATATGCATTTTTCTGTTGTGACATAGTGTTTCTATACATCAGTGTTAACAATACAATTCTATACAGTATTTCTATACAATACAAATATTCTATACAAATATTCAAATATATAAATATTCTATACAATATTTCATTTGGTGAATGTCACAATTTACTTTTTTTTCCTGCTTTTAGACATTTGCTTCCTATTTTTTTTATAATCAGAAATAATCCTGCAATGAACTAACTGCATAACAGTTTTTTCTGTATCTAGGACTTATTTTCGTAGGATAGATTCAACTGGTGATTGTTGAGTAAAGGAGATAAATATTTTAAAGGTTCTTGATACATACCATCAAATTACTTTCCAAAATGATTATATTATTTTACAGTTCTTCTACAATGTATTTAAATGACCGTTTTGCCGTAGACTACTCAGAACTAGATAAAAAAAGTTTGTTTCATATTAATGCACCCTGATGTCTATTACATATTTTGTTCGGTTGGAGTAGGTATTATCATATTTTTTAAGTTGTACTGATTTTATTGGCAAAAAAACCCACATCATTTATATTACTGAACATCTTACTCATGTAGTCTTGATATAGCAAACACTTTCTGAGAAAAAATATAAATGATATTAGTTTTATCATATTGTATAGAGAGGAGTGATTTTGATTATTTAGGCTGTTAATTTTAATAACTTAAGATCATTTTCATGTTCCTTGTGAGACTAGCATTCAGAGTGCCAGCCAGGACAGTCTTCATGTGAAATGGAATTGTCCCTTTTAAAGAGGACGAGGTGAAGTCATAAGTCAATAAGTCAGTTAGTGTGTGGCCCTTGCTGTACAGGGTCCACGGGGCTGCATGTGCGAGATCATACATCCCGTGTAACGAGGCACCTAGACTTTTGGAATACATTCGTTTCCTGTAACGTGCTCTGAGTCACTACTAGTCAGGATTTGGAGCTTAAACGCTGGATGTACAATTGTGATGTGGAAGTAAGGGTCCTGCTGTTTGTTTGTCACTTGTGAGCAGCAGGTTCGTCAGCTCTCCTGGATTGTTGTTTTGGTTACTTAATAACTACCATATGCCGATTGTCAAGAACTGTCTTAAATGCTGTTATTTTCTAATCCTTATAATAAACCAGTGGCATAAGTAGCATTACATTTTACAGATGAGGGAAATGGAAGGGCCCAGAGATTGAGTAATTTGTCCAGGGCCATGTAGTGGCTAAACTGCAGGTGACACCCAGGCCCCCTGACTTCACAGTCTGTGCACGTTCCCTCCTCCAGGCAGACCAGCTCAGTCTTCCACGGCCTTCTTAGGAACACTGCTTTAGTTGAGTTTTCTCCCTGAACTGGGCTTCTGTTCTCTGGGCAGTAATTAGCATTATGTGGATAGAGCCTCTGCGGTGCCCTTTAAGTGGGAAGATCAGTCAGTCCCCTACCTGAAGGGTTTCAGAAGTGGCCTCCTCATACCCTGTCCTGGGTCTGTTGGACCTGGTCGGTGTTGTCTGCTAAGGCAGAATGGCTTCCTTCTTTGATGTCTGGGAGAGCTTTGCTGTGCTGTGAATCTGCATAGACTGAGCATTGCATGCTGAAGTTTCTATTTCTGATCCTTAAGGAAAGGAGTGAGCTTTACTTTTAAAAAGAGATAAACACCTCTCTCTATCTCTCTCTCATTCTTTCCCCTTTTCTCCACGTGGAGAGATGGGAAGAAAGTAGTTTTAAAGAAAACCAGTGTAATGTGACTTTATCCTTAAAGATTTTTCCTTTTTAAAACTTTTAAAGGAAATTGCATAACTTGATTTTAGGATCCCTTTGAATGAAGGGGAAATCCAGCTTTGTTACATACAGTTTTGATAATAATCAAAATAAGCCTCTTAATTACTAAGGCTAACAAAAGTCAATCAAATGGTAGCACTTTAACTAAAGATATTAGTGTGTTTTTAAAATAAGGGTACAGGAATAGAGTCCAAACAAGGTACATGCTCTGTATCTTGTAAATGAGATACTAGCATTTATTTGTCAGGATGCTATCCTCATATGCTCACTGAGAGCATATTAAATATGTATCTCAATGGTTTAATATGAAAATGCCCTATTCTATGGCATCATAGATTTTATAACTTCAATTTGTTTTTATAACTTTCATTTTTCATAACAGAAGTTTTCATAAATCAACAGTGCATGTATTTTCTCAGGTGAGATCAGCCAACTACTTAGAGCTCTTATTTAGTTTTTTGTTTTTGTTTTGGGGAGGGTAATTAGGTTTATTTTTTAAATGGAGGTGCTGGGGATTGAACTTACGACCTCATGCATGCTAAGCACACACTCTACCACTGAGCTATACTCCCCCACCACCACCCTTAGAGCTTTTAAATGTAGTGCTGAAAACCCCTGGACTATATATAAATTTAATGAAAATTTTGTGCATGTTTACCACACATGAATTTTGTTTCTGTGTAAGCTGACATATCCAGACTCCTCGGGTCCTTTTGTCTACCTTAAATGTAAGTTGTCTTGAAGCACTGGTTTTTATCTAGAATATAGCCCCTCATAAAGGCAGCATCAGCCGGACACCTCCGGCCAGTCGCGTGCCTCAGGCACGTCTGGGTGGCAGAGACGTGCTGAGACGCAGGCGGTGCGCGTGTGAGCTGACAGCCATGTGGAGAGGGGCCCCGGGACGCAGCCCGTCATGGTGCCTGTGAGGAGCTAGGTTACAGTGATGAGCTCTGCCTGGGGGTGCGGCGGGGTGACGCAGAGAAGGCTCCTGGAGCAAATGACACTTGAGATGAGTCTTGAAGGGCACATAGCTAGGAGGAGAAAATGAGGATGAAGGTTCTAGACACATGGAACCTTATTGCACCTTCTGAAAAGCACAGTCACTGTATTTGAAAGGAAGACAGCAGTGCCCGTGAGAAGCGTGCTCTCCCTCTGTCCGCTGCCCTCCTCCTGGCAGGCCTTAATACTCTTGAAGACCACTCCATATTTTTGACATGCTGCTTCCCAAGGTCACTAGTATCTGCTGTTTGCCTTAGTGTTTGTGAGAACAGTTTCAGTCAACTTGCCAAAGACATAAAGCCTCAATGGTCCGGTCATGTGGCATGAAGAAAAAATATTTCGAGGTGCTGAAAATATATACTTAAATATATTCCCACAGTATACTCAATATAATCTTACGGTTTTATTTTTTGTTACTTGTTAATGTGGTTATCACTGCAGACATAAGATAGAGATATTGGATGTGATATGTGTTCTGTTACACTTATTTGAAACAACCATCCTAATCCAGGTTGGTCATTTACTATTCATATAAATCAAATATATACTGTGTCTAGGCCCTATTACAATTACTTTTTAGGGAAAAATAATTATTTTAAAAAACCTAGAAAATGAAACCTTTATAGATGGGACCAAACATTGTAAAATTGTGATTAAGATGATTTTGAAATGAGGCACATTCATGTTATTGTGTCTGTTTTAGGAACAAGATTCTTAACTGCCAGAAATGTCTTCAAAATTATCTTTTTGAGTTTTCTCAGGTTCTGCCTGAACATTTCTACTGCTGCCCTTTGTTATCATGCCTATGCCCTGGGGGCCAAGGGTCCTCAGTTAACATCATGGACTTTTAATTAGATGGTGGAATCCACAGGAAGGGAGATTTATCATGAACACTACCAGAGGTGGGCTCTAAGTGTGGTGGTTAGAAATAAAAGGAATGCCTGCTTAAGTGGGCTTTCCTTGAAGGGGGTTCTGTGGCCACAGCCCTAGGACATCATTAATCTAATGTGTGTATGAGACCACTGCTAGCGTCCGCACTAACCATGTTAAATATGAAGTGGTAGAGACAAGGGTCACAGAGAAGAATTCTCGCTCGCTCTTTTGCTCTCTGCTTCTAGGTACAGGTGGGGAGATAATGAGGCAACTTGACCTCTTGGTTGACCACCTGCCTGTCCTTTGTATCCCATTCACAGTACAGTCTCTAACATGGCGATGTGCCTGTCTTCTTGCAGGGTAAGAAAAAGAAGAGGAAGAGAGAGAAACTGCAGGAATCTACATCAGGTAGGCACCATGTGACTTTCCAGCCAATTCTCATGCTTCTGACAAACACCTTTTAAAGTAGTCGACACCTTTCTACACAGTGCTTTATTCTTCAGCTGTAACGTGTGATTCTTTAACTCTGCTTTTCTTCCTAAATTCTTTAAAAATGTTGGAAAGACCTTTCTTTTAAATGTGACTATGTGAAGGTACATCTGAAAACTCCTTTCCCAGACCCTGTGACCTGGAATCCCGGTTGTTAGCTGTGGTTGTTTTTTGGTTTTGTTCTCTTTGCTTTAACACTTCTGTTCCTCTCTCTGCATAACTGCTTACAATACAGTTTCTTATGATGATTCTGTAATATACTACTTTGTGTCCCCTTGAGAATTGTTTCTGCGATTTGGGGTTATTTAAAAATGTAAAACATGATAGGGTTTATCTTTCCTGTACATTAATTCAAGGCATCAAACCATGAGGTCCTATTTATTTCCCCGTTTTCTTGCATTAAAAATAAGGCCTCCACTTGTACTGCACAAATAAAAATGGCTGGTATAAGAACCATAAAAAGTAAAGCAAACAAGTCCACGTGATGTTGTAGCTACTACGTGTTTGGAATGTACAAAAACCGCTTCAGTAAAAATTTGTTAAAGACACAATTTTCTGCAGGTACAGGTCCAAGAATGACAGCTGCCTACATCTGAAACATGGTAAGAACGACTCTCTGGTCCTACTGCTGACGTTAGTTATAAACAGAGGCACTTGCTTGTGAATCTTCTTGCTCATACTGATGCCATTCAGCATTGCTCCTTTAAAGAGGAAACTCCACCAAAATCCAATCAGCGCTTTCAAACATCTGATGGTTTTTATACCGGCTATGTATCTGTAACATAGTATGCGTATCTCTCTTCTCCCCTCTTTTGCCCCTTTAATCTTTCTCCATTCCCATTCCCCTAACTTGTCAGCCATTCCTTACTGACCAGTGGCAAATCTGCCTGCTAAAAACCAGACAGGCAACAAAAACCAGCAAAACACTATCTTACTCCACAGACCTGGGGCTGCGTTTGAGGAGCTCAGGCCCAGACTAGCCCAGGACTCAGAAGCTTTTACTCTGTAGAGACTTCTCAATTGAGATGATAAATAGAGACTTAAAAGTAATAAGAAAAACAGAGATGCTTAATTTTTTCTATTATTTAAAAATATGGCATGGGGACTTAATTGACTGACTGTATTCTGCTGTAAAGGTCTTTACTGGTAACCATGGTTAGATCTCACTCTCATCTTTGTAGGTAGTATTTATTTCATTTCTTTTTATTGTAGTTATTTTACTTTTGACCACCAATGCTGCTGGGAACCTGGCTTTGTAAATTGCTGCAGTCTTTGCTCAGCTTGGAACCCACGTGTGTACACCTTCTCCCGGGGACAGTTCCTCTCAGAGGTGCTGCTCCCTTTGGTTCTGTTCTCTCTAGGAGCCCGCATCCCAGTGCTGTCAGCTCTAGCTTTTGGGTCTGTCTGAAATCTTTTCCACTCACCCTCATTGGTGTCACAGCCCCAGCTCAGGTGCTCAAACTTTCCATCTGGATTATTGTAATCCCTTTGGATAATTGTCCTGCCTCCAGACTTCCTTTCTGCCAGTTCATCCTCTGTGTCACTCCCTGAGGGATTTGCTGAAACACAAACTGATTGTGTCACTTCCCGACTTAGAGCTGGTCAGTGCTTCCCTCTGTCTGCAGGACAAAGTGCAGACACGTTAGTGTGGGTCTGCCTCTGCCCTCTCCTGCCTCCAGCCAGGCCCTAGGAGTCCTGTTCGCAGTGCAAACAAAATTATTTGCCGTCCCCCAAGCAGACTGGGGCTGCTGCATGCGCTGCCCCGGTGCTCAGAAAGCCGTTTCCTGGGCCTCAGAACAGGATAGATCTGCGCGGTGTTTCTAAGGAGGAGAGCACTAGCCCGCGGGTCACTTGGTTCTTGACTTGAACCAGACGACCACTTAAGCTTTTAGAACTAATTCTGATGCTGAAATTTGAACAGACCTTCCCAGAGGAGCCTGCAGAGATTGTGGGTACCAAATAGAAACCAGCTGTTTGCCGGGACGATCTGCTTGAGCTTTTTAATCTTCATGTTCCTCATCTGTAAAACGGGACCAGTAACACCTCCCACCTCTGGTTCTTTATTTGGCATATGTGGCCTCCCTTCCTCCTTCCACCCACACCAGGACCTTACTCAGCTGCTCCCCCTCCTCTGTGAACCTTTCCTGATCTTCATTCAGGCTCCCCAGGTTCTTCAAAATTTCATCTTTGTGGTTTTGTGGTATCAGAAGTCTTCCAAACTAACGCTGAGAGGCAAGCTTTCCTCCCGGTGGAAAGAGGATCAGCCCTTCACATAGGTGACCGAACAAGGGATCAGAAAAGGACCTCAGATGGCGTTGATGTTTAATTCAGCTTAACAGCTATTAATTGCGGGCCCCTCTGAGCACAGGCCCTGCCCCTAGTTGCTCATGGAGTTAGAATTACTAGAAGTAATTCTAGGAGCAAGCACATGCTTTTGTACTTTTCTTGCATTTTTTTAAGACTGTTGTCCTTTGCATTTCTGAGCAGGTACAGACAGCAGCCCTTTTATGCTCTGCCTCTGAGTGGAAAACCCTGGTAAACGCAACGTGCTGAGGACCAACATTCACTCATTTACTGTCTGCTGTTTGCACCAAAATCTTTAAAACTGTTTCTATTAAAAATCACACAAAAATTCTACACTTCAGTTTGATACTTGGTTTTCTGTCCTTAATGATGAACGTTATATAGTCTTTTAGATCAGGCAGTCAGGCTTCAGGCTGAGTGCGTTTCTATCCTAGAATGTGTCCCAGGTATCTCTTTTTAAAAAATGTCATAGTGATCATTGTGCTTTCCTGTCACTTACTTGTTTTTTTCTAAATGTCAAGGTGTCCCCTCTACCCTGTCCCAGAAAAACAAAACAAAGCTCCCCCCCCCCAAGAAAAACATTCTCACCCACTGGTGGCCGGTGAGGCTCCAGCCAGCTGGGCTGCACTTAATCAGAGTCTCCAGTGTTCCTCTCCCGTCTCGTTGCTGGATCAGTCATGCAGCCTTTGAAGTTCTGTCCTCCACACTATCCTATTTTAGACAGCAGCGCTGGCAGTCATTTGATAAGAATTACTAAGCAGAGAGGAGCTCAGATTTACATTCATGAAGATTTCAGTAAACTGGGAATGTTACTATCCCTGCTGTCTCCCCACCCGTTTGTTTTAGGAATTCAGAAACTCCTATATGTGTAGTAGTTGACTTGTTCAGTCATTTCTCAGCATTTAGTGAGCACCTAATAAATGCCAGTTAGTTCCGTAAGACCTGGAAGTCTTAAAATTAAAAATACAGGAAAGTATACGTCTGTAATAGAAATACGTCTGTAATAGAAATAAAGCAGGGAGTGACTTGAGGGTCTGCTTTAGGTTGACGGTCAGGAAAGGCCCCCTGAGGAGGTGAAGCTCAGTAATTACCTGCTGTTACCTCTGGAGGGTGTTCTCTGTGCTGTTCTGGGACAGAGCAGTGGCACAGAAACGAAAGACCAGCCTGACAGAGCATCGTGGTGTGGAAGGAGCTCAGACTAGGAGCGAGGCCACCCAGGCACTCAGATCAGCCCTCTGTGCACGCTGCGTGGCTGGGGCAGCTGGTGTAACCCTGGAGACTCCGGTTCCTCGGGCCAGAGTGGAAGGGCCCCGTCTGGCCTCTCAGCTCCCCTGTCTGCTTTGCTTCGGCAGGCTGCACTGCCTCCCAGTGTTACCGAAGGGACTCGGGTCTCTTGTACGTTTACTAACATGTAGTCCTCATTCTAGGTCTTGGTGGCTCTAACTGTTAAGGCACCTGTATGATCTGGAAAATGACTTGTCCACAATGTGCTTGTTCTTCAGCTCCTGAGTAGATCAGCCCTGCCTCCCCAGACGAGTGCTGCCTCTGGTTTGGGGGGTTTCACTCTCCACTGATGCGGTCACGTTTGCCAGACCTTGGTCACATGAGTACTGGCTTCACCTTAGCAAGAAGCTGAAGACAGATAAAATGTTTGTTTGATTAGAATTGATCCTGCAAATAGTGTGACATGAAATCTGACAGGGCTCACTTTCAGTTCTGAAGGGAAGTTCAAAAGTCACCGCCCTCCCTTCAGGAAGGGAAAGCTAACGGAACGCAGTGCCCGGGCAGGGAAGATGCTGTGACTCCAATGTGAAGATTTTGGGGAGGGTTTCTCTGTGTACAGTGAAACTTAATGGTATCCTGGTGTCCTTAAAGAAAATTCCTATTAAACTGGAAAGATCTTTGAGCTTAGACGTCCACAATGTAGCTGAAATGCTAGAGAACTCTGGTTAACTCTGAACTAGTGTGGGACAGTGGGCCACGGGGAAGAATCCCACTAATAAGGAGAAGACTCTCCTCCATGAACAAAACAGCCCTCTGAAAACTTGTGTTTCTGCTCCTTATAAGATAAAAGTTTGGCTTAATACTTTCATTCTGTTGGTGGGAAATGCCACTGCAGTTGCCTCCACAGCCCAGTGTAGAAATTGGCCTGTTATGTAGTTGCTCACACCCCACCGTCTGTCTCCCTGTGTTTCTGCTTTTGACCGTTGTGTAAGAATATTCACCCTGGTGAAGTCAGGTGAAACAGAGAAATGAGCGTTAACCCAGTCTCAACACCTTGCGACAGATTTTAGGATAATTAAAATGAGATCCATAAAAGACACTCCCCCAAGTTAGAGGTGATCCCCAAACTCTGCAGTCTTCTAAGAAATTCAGATTCATAAGGAAGAATCTGGACTAGCTTGTCCCTTGTGGTCATGCTGGGAGCCCAGGACCTCAAGCTGTGAGACTGCACACCTTCTGTGTCTAGCTGGAAGGCCAGTATCATAAACGCCAATCATTTGTTCATTCACTCTGCAAACATCCAGTGAAGTGTACTCCTCCAAGTCAAGAACTGCTTTAGGCAGTGGGAGTTACTTGCTAAACGGACCCTGTTCCTTCCCAGGGGAGCTCCCAGTTTAAGAAGATGCAGGCATACAAACGGCTACTTATAAAATAATATGTTTTATGCTATGAAGAAAGTACATACAGTGTATGGTGTAAAAATAAAAAGAACAAGAAGTATGTAATCGAGAGTGAGATCAAGGAAGGCTTCCTGGAGTAGGTAACATGTGAGCTATCCAGTCATCTTGGGTTTGAAAGAACAGTGATCAAGTTGCTATGAGTTTCCAGTATTTAGTATACGTCTGATTTGAAATATGTAACGTCTCAAGAGTTTGTCAGGAGTCAGAGATTATCAAATACTAAACTTCCCTTTCTTCCTGACTTAAGATTCAATAAGTAATTAAAGAAGCAAAGAATTAAATTTTTGAAAAGCTGGAGAGAATTATTCTGAGTTTACTAACTTAAAAACAGTTCCACACATTGGTTTACTAATACTTAATTTAGCAAAGCATAAAAAGCCTACCATCTTAAAATTTTAGAGATTGAAAAGATACTCTTATATAATCAAAGGAAATACAGTGAAATAGCATAACTCAAAGAGCTAGTTTAAAAGTAGAAACAAGCTATTTTTTTTAAAAAAACCAAAAAACCTCTGGTTAAACACACTGAGATACACATGGATACAGATACCCACAGCACTCATATTATTCCTATACACTATGTTTTTGGCTTCGGAATAATCTTTATCTTGTAC